AAGGAGACCTAGTGACATGTTCTTCGGAGAAAAATTCAGAGTTGTTTTACGCCGTTCTAGGAGGATTAGGTCAATTTGGAATTATAACTAGGGCAAGAATAGCTCTTGGACCCGCACCAACTAGGGCAAGTATCTCTTCTTTTTTATTTATTTGTTTATTTTGTAAGTCAGATCTTGTTAGAAAAATGTTTACAATAAACACTTAACATTCTTCAATATCATGCTTAGTTAATGAAAATTCATTTGCTTAATCTTTGCAGGTGAAGTGGCTCCGTTTGCTTTACAACGATTTCTCTGCATTTTCTGCAGACCAAGAACACTTGATCTCGTTGAATGGAAGAAACGACACCATTGCTGCTGATTATGTAGAAGGTTTCCTTCTGCTAAATCAGCCACCACTGGATCTTTCTTCTTTTCCAGCGCCCGATCAACCTCGTATAACTTCCCTGCTGACACAATACGGCATTATCTATATCATAGAGCTTGTGAAATATTACGACAACAGTACACAACAACATGTTGACGAGGTAATAACGTATATAAGTTTAGGAACTAAAATTTTATGAAATACTTAAGGTAGTTATTAACTTATTATGTTTTTATATGTTTGAATAGGATGTAAAAGTTTTGGTGGAGGGGTTGAAGTTTGTTCCCACGTTTATGTTCGAAAAAGATGCATCATACGAAGAGTTCCTGAACAGAGTTCATACCGACGAGCTTTTCCTAACATCACAAGGACTTTGGGATGTTCCTCATCCTTGGCTAAACCTCTTTGTTCCAGGATCTCGAATCTCAGATTTCGATGAAGGTGTGTTCAAGGGCATTATTCTGAAGCAAAATATCACTGCAGGAGTTGCGATAATCTACCCGATGAATCGATCCAAGTAAGTTATAAGAAATTAAGTTTGTTTGGTTTGGTATGCATATGGAATAATTAGCAAATATAATTAATGTAAATGCATATAATTAATCCACAGGTGGAATGATAAGATGTCAGCAGTTACACCTAATGAAGATGTTTTCTATACTGTGTCACTTCTTCATTCAACTGGGTTTGATGAAGTGGAGGAATTTCAAGCTCAAAACCAACGAATATTAAAGTTCTGTGAGGATGCTGGTATTAAGATCAAGCAGTATCTTCCCCAAAACAAAACAAGGAATGAATGGATCAAACAGTTTGGCTCCAAATGGAAAACGTTCCAAGTAAGAAAAAATAAATTTGATCCCAACAGAATATTGTCACCTGGACAGAGGATTTTCAATTAAATATGAAATAATCAACGATGCAATTTACCATACTATAGTCTACCACTGTTGTACAGGTGTTACGGAATCAATTTATACTAATGCAGCATTAATATATATTAATAAGAATAAATGTTGTATGTTCTAATGGTAAGAATTCGTCTCTTTTTGCTTCCTTATTTTCACAATGTCATTCTTTACCACCACCGTTCACTTCTGCAAGAAAAAACCTACTCTTACTTTCCCATAACCCCTTTGTTGCATGTTGAGTCTCCATTATGCCATCGATTAAACCCACCATCCTTACTTTTAAGAAGCTATTACTTTGTAACTTTGAGTTGATATTATGTATATACATTATTTTCATAACAAATAAAATAGTCGAGGCCTTAAAATAACTTTGTTTCATGGAAGAACACAAAAAAAAGTTTTTTTTTTTTATGATTTATTGATCAATTTTTATTTATTTTTTTAGTTTTGAGGACATAGTTCGTATAATGAATTCTTATTTCATTTTGTTGTGATTTAGTAACACGATTTTAGAAGAATTGTTGTGCTCACACTTCATTTATATCTTTATAATTTTATCATATTATTTATTGATCTAAGAAATTTTTTAATTGTTTTAATTGAAAGGTGACATTTTACTGTGAACAAATTTTTACAGCTATACAAGTGAGATCTAGAGTAAATAAAATTATTACTACTATGAAAAAAAAACTCTTTTACATTGATTTTTGGCTACAAAACGATATAAAAAGTGGCTTACTATTGATAATGGAATGAATCAATGTGATATATGCATTTTCTACATCCATTTTAATCATTATCAATGAAAAAAAAATCTTTTTGTATTGTATTTGAGTGTGAGATATGTAATATCAATTTTAGAAACCAATTGATATAATATGTTAGCCTTTTACATTCTTTAACAACTAACGGAAAAATTCCTTCGTATCAATTATATTAGTTGTCTAATCAATATAAAAAGTCTAACATATATAAAATGTGTTTTTTTTGTAATTAAAGCATAAGAAATATAAAATTTTCGATTAAAGAAACCTCTAAACCCTTACTCACTTTCCACATTCCTCTCAACCCTTTCTCTTTCATTTCTCTCACTGCAACATTTTCTCTGTCATCCCTAATGTAGCCTCAACTGAAAAAAATGATTTTATAATGAATTTTCATTTTATATTTTTTGTCTTATCTAATTTTATCTAATTTTCACAAGCATAATGACATCCGAAGGAATTGGTAATTGACTTTGCCTGAAGAGTTTTTTTAGAGATGTCGCAGATGATGAAATTAGAGAGGTTAATTAGTGAAGATGATGAAATTGAAGAGATCTTGAATGAATCTTTGCCTGAAGGCAAATATGTCAATGGCTCAACTCTTTACAAAGACAAATTGTTTAACCGTGAATATTTCTGATTTTTAAGCGTTCGAGAGTTTCTTGTTTTTTTGTTTTGAGAATGAAAATTACTCAAATACCCTTGATCTTAAAGTTTAGAATCCATACTATATGAGAGTATTTTTGTCTACTAAAATTCGATATTATTAAAATGTACCGACGGACAAAAGAACGTACGCAAATTAATAAACTCACACACACACACACATATATATATATATATATATATATATATGTATATATATAGACACACTTGATTTTTAATAGATAAAGCAATTTGTAACTTTAAGAATTAATGAAGTATAATGAATTTTTTATTGCCTTCTGATCACGGTTGCTCTAATGAGATAGCTGCGATAAAGTTTACACATAGCAATCCTCTTTTGTTTCACTTTAAATTAAAAAAAATAGGAGGGTTACTACAAAAAAGAGAAAGCAAGGAGAAAATTAAGAAAAAGAGATATGATGAGGACATATTTTAGGATTAGAAAGAGTGGAAAAAGGAAAGGAAAGTAAGTAATTATGATTAGGTGGTACATGATGATGCTCTTTTCTATCCATTGTCAACATAGTATGATTCACAGCGTGTGAATCATGGGATTCTGTCATGGATTTTCCACAACAATTAGACATGAATCTGTTAAAGCAAATCTAGTTTATTTACAATGGAGGCACCAAAAAAGTCAAAAAAAGAGGACAAGGAATTTAATTTAATTGCTGGGACATCTCATAACTTTTCTTGTCTCCAGTTTGCCTGCAAGCTGGAATTAAGTGTTGCAACATAATTATGCACCCTCCCAATAAATTATTAGTTACTTCTAAACCATTATTTGTAATCACACCTTTTGTCTCTCAACTGTTCAAACAAAATTTTAGTTTTCATATATTAAACAACATGAAGACATCATAAGTAAGTATTGGATCTTGTCTGGTTTAAAATGTGAATAAAAAGCCTCATTTTTGTGATTAAGATCAGACAGGTTTTATTAAGAAAACCTTTCTATAGTTAATTAAAATGATAAGAATGACAACTAGATCATCAGTTTATGCTTTAATTTAAATGATATTTTGATTAGTAGATGAAGTCATTGCTTTATACTTTTGTGACAACAAAGGCCCTCGTGGGTCTATCTGAATCAAAAAGTCAAAAATTATTCCTATGCGAGAACGACAAAATATAAGCCAACCCTGAAAGTTTTAAGTTGATGTGACTGAATGGAAAAATGGTTAATGTGATATTCTTTCTGATATCCACCATTCCAACTCATTATCAAATTCGTCTTTTGTTTTCTCAAAAAGAAGCTATTTAATAAAGTCACCACTACTAATTTAGTCCAATTAGCATTATTCTATTTTAAGAATCAAGTTTATCACATTTAAAATGGGTTCTAACAAATATCCCAAAACCCTGTATTCCTCTTATGTTATCTAACAAAATTGAATAAAAAATAACAAAAAGTGTATCTAACACTCACTTATACATTACCAACCACCTTTTAATAAAGTTTTCATTATTCTTCTTTAAGTATGTCGAATTGTTATAACGTTCTTGTTCTTCCTATTGCTTCTGATATAAACCTCATTTGGGGTATACATAGTTTCATTTTTCTATATAATAATATTCTTTGCTTGTTTTTTGTTTGTTTGATTTTTTGTGATAATTTGATTTAAGATGGCATCATATATGGATATAATCTGTGTTTTCCGGATTATAATCATACCTCAGAGCGGTAGAGACATTAGTAGCAATCAGACACTCCTGTTCGAGAAGTTTTCCCTTTTTTGAATAAAATTTTATTAACAGATAAAAAAAAAACTTCAACCATATGCATAATTTTGAAAAAGGCCAGAAATGTTTGTAAAATCTACAAGATTATGAATGTCAATTTTTCATCATAATATCTTCTTTAAGGCACCAAAAGTATGCAAAAGTTCTGAAATTGTGCTTGAACACGTACGTCGAACTAAAGGACTGAACATATTATAATTATTTGTTAATGTTTCATCCTTCTGTTACATGCTCTTTGGTGTTTTACTTATTAGATATATACTCCCACTTGCAATATGTTTGAACCTAAATCTCTGAACAGTATTCTTTAATTAATTTTTTTTGTGTGATTTTATTAATAAATTTTATCCTGGCTTCAAAGATAAAAAATGAGAAAATAGAATCTGAAACTTCAAATTAAATTAAAGAACTTTTCAGAACAACTTATGATTTGGAGTATAGTGGTGAATAATTTTTTCATATAGACGGTGTCATTAGGAGAAGTTATATATATATATATATATATATATATATATATATAAACAATATTATATAAAGAAATTAATACAGAATCGTTACACATTTAATGGAGGACCAGAACTGCTTAGAACATCTCCAGCACATTTTCTCCACACTAGCAGGTTTAGTGACAGACAGTGGTGAGAGACAACTTGTGCTTCTTGTACAAGACTGTGCCAACCTATAATCTATCTAAAGTACATAGCATAATTTAGATGTCAAAGTAATGCTGAATTTAATACCCCACCTTAATTTCTCTAGAAAAGAAATACAAAAGTCATTTTGGTTTCGATCATCATAGTATGTACACCAGTCCCTCCATGAACACTTAGGTTTTTTTTTTTCATTGGGGGAATATTTAAAACGCTGGTTGTAATTGTTTGTGGAAGATTTTTTGGCCGGGTGATAGAATCATTTTTGGATCAAACTGGTGTTTTCTTTCCAAGAATTTCATCCATTTGGCACCGAAATGGTTTGTCCAATCTTCCTGTGTGCTGTGATTAGGAAGATATTGCTTAACCTTAATGCCAGCATCCCTACAGAACTCCAAAATTTCTCTGTTTTGAGCATCATACGCCTTCCAAGAATCAAACCCACTTGAGTGCAAAAATCCAACTGTGTAGAACACATCCTCGTCTGGTATAGATGCTGACATCCTATCGTCCCATCTGGAATAAAATTTCATAGTATTATTAGTGACTGTTCTCTTCTGAATTTCACTGCAAAAAAAATGATGGGATCGAATTAAAAAAAAAATTGCATCATTCAAGGCTTACTTGTTTCTATTCATAGGGTAAACCAGGACTGGTCCAGAAGAGATGTTTCTTTTAAGAATTATATCTCTGAATACTCCAGAATTAAAATCCAAGATCTGAGATTTTGGTATAAACAAATTAAGCCAAGGGTGAGGAACCTCCCACAGTCCTTGTGACTGAAGCTTCAACTCTCCACTTCGAACTCTATTCAAGAACTCAACGTATGAGACATTTTTCTCATAATAAAATCCGGGGATATAGGCCAGCCCTTGGAGCAAAACTTGAATTTCCTAGAGACAAAGAAAAGAAAAATATTACTACCATTTATTAAATAATTAAAATTTATGTTATATATAAAGATTTAACATCTTGGTTATGAAGGTGTAATCCAAGAATCACAACATATATACATATATAGGCATTTGCTTTTGAGTAGTTAGGGACAGTGGTTTTTCTTTTTTGTTTGTTTGAAAAGAAATTTGATCTAACTAGAATATGATATGACCAGAGAGGATACCTTGTCGACATTTTTCTCGGTTTGGTCGTCATAATATTTAGCCACTTCAAGACAGTAGAGGATGGTGTGCTCAGTTATTAAAGAAGCTATTCTGGGATGGTCAGATAGAGGGAAGAAAGAGGATCTCCAATTATTTATGGGGCCTTGGTTCATCAGCAGCATCCCTTCCAGAAAATCCAATGCATTCTTTTGTTTCCTTCCATTGATTGAGATTAATCGTTCCTGGTCTTCGGTAAAAGCAGAAAAGTCACTATAAAGTAGTCTGACCCACTTAACCTGCATGCCAACAAAAATTCACCATTAACACTGTCTTATACCAGTAAACTTACACTAACCAAATAGAATATAATAAAACGAAATACACGAGAGAGAGACACGTATTTATGGATGTATGTATGTATGAATGGATGTGCACGAGCTCACACCACTGGTCCAATCAAAAATTGGAAAGATAAACAAAAGATTACGGCTGTAACATGTGGTGGCCATAAAATATCCGCATTCTTCATGTGTTATAGCTTAAAAGTGTCATGGAATGTATCTTGAAGGTCTTTTCAGAAAGAGCACTTGTTGTTTGGTTTGAAAAAGTAGATAAGGTTTTAATTAAGTCATGGAAAGAATGTGATCATAATAATACTAGAGTTTTTCTAATTCTATTGGTTCAGAGCTTAGGATCTAAGACTGTTTTTCAAACTCGTATTATGTATGCTTTCAATTTCAAATCCACATTAAGTGGTTCAAACTCTTACGTACGAATAACTCGTCTTGTTTTCATTTGTGTATGTTTTTATCATGGATGACTAATACACCAACATAAGATGAAATGAACAGTACGTACGTGGGTGCCAACTGCCACTAGGTAGATATGTATATATACAAAATGACTATTCACCCTTAAAAAATGACAATTCGATTCGGCGTCACTATGAATTGGTGGTGGAAAAGCTACAAGACAAAATTCTAGTCAATTCCTATGGACGTACCCTTTTGGGTGCTGCCTCAAGAGCAATTCTCGCCCTTGCTATCACTCCAAATTGTCCCAAGCCTCCAAGAACCGCGTTGAATAACTCCAAGTTCTTCTGGGTAGAGCAGGTTACGAACTCTCCTTTTCCTGTAACCAAGTAGACGACAAAAATTATTTAATAAATTGCACAATTAATTAAATGCATGCATGCATCAATTGTTAGAGTAACATTTTCCGTAGGTTGGTAATTAATTAAGTCTTTTCATATGAATGAATTGACCAATATAAACGATTTGACCAACATTAAGTTAATACAAAACTATGACCGTGGACCTGGTTACTGATTAACCCATCGCTCACCCATATTGTAGACAAAGACCATTCCTGTTCTAGAGTTCACCAACCACATTAACAGGTTTTATAAGACGTGTTCAACAAAATCATATCTTATACTTTTAGCAGAACATCTACGACGACACACCATGTCATATATCATAACAGACAAAATTTGAACAGCTCAAGAAGACTTCGCCTTTCTCGTTTTCTCAAAGTTTCGACATGAACACGTTCTCTCAAGAAAACTGGGCAATAAATTTGAAAAACTTACATACAATGACAGGTACGGTTGCCATTGTCTCTGATTTTGGCCACTAAAATGAAAACAGTAATAATTACCGAGACAAGATGTATGAGAAATTGCGGAGAAACTTCGGAGAAACTGCATACCTGTGATAACATCCATTTCATGAACCTTGCTGATTTGAGGTCCATAGCGGAAACTCTGGCCACTGATTCCAGCGTTGGAAAGTGTTCCTCCCACGGTCAAGTACAAATAATCAGTCCAAGAAACGGGTGCAAGTCCATGTTCTAGTGAGGCATGTAGCACATCAATCCAGAGTTGTTCCCCTCCAACATCAGCATAGTGACCTATCAAAGGGTCTTTAGAGACACTGATAGAAACCCCGTTTCCTTGTTTTCTCAGTGTGGCCATGTCAACCACTACCCCATCACGAGCCATGGCTTGTCCTTGGGTGGAGTGGCCTTGGCCCCTCGCTGCTATGTGAAAGGGGACAAAACTGTTGTACGAGGTTTTTATCAAGGTGGCTATGTCATCTATGGAAGATGGATGAAACACAGCTGCCGGGAGCTCATGCACGATATGGCCGTAGTCCGTAGAAGCCATCTGAATGGTTTCGGGGTCATCACGAAGCTTATGGAATATATTTTCAATGTCAAGATCTGGAAGAATCAGAGCTTTCTGTTGCTCGGTTTTGCCCACTGTGTATATCAAACGGGTTATGGTTACTAGAAGTAGTATGAAGCAGGTTGAAGAAGGGTAATTCAGAGGCATTTTTGGAGAGAGAAAGAGAGAGAGAGAGAGAGAGAGAGAGAGAGAGAGAGAGAGAGTAGTAGTTGTGTAGAAGAAGAAGATGATCAGAAGAAAAGTTTGGTGTCGTGGTGTGGTGTGGTAGTGGGTGAAGGGAGCTGCTATAAATAGAAAGAGGGAGCTTGCATGAGAAAAAGAGGGTTTGGGAATAGAAAAATGGTTTTACACAGTTATTGGGGCTGTATACATATATGGGGATGGATCGTGGAAAACAGAAATAAGAAAGAAAGTGAGAAAAAGTGTAAACGTAAGAGGTGATGTGGTCTAGAAGAAAGAAAGAAAAAGCTTAAAAATATAGCGCAGGTAATTGCGCAAAGAGAGTGTGAAAAATATTATAGGTTACATCTTTAGGATGTGAAGGGAAATTATAAATTATATTGCGCAGAGAATGGGGTGGCAAAGTGTCAAATTCAAAGGTATGTATGATGGAAATGGAAGCGGATAATAGAGTGTGAAGGTTCATGTGAATTGTGAGGAAAGTATTAAAAGGAAAATAATTAATTAATTAAGATTTGCGTACGTGTTTGTTGTTGTGAATGATGATGATGTATGAGGAAGATTCCCAGCAATGGAACATTTGAACCCACAGATTTGTAGGATTTTTTTTATTAGCACTTGGTATTGGTGTATTTCATATTTTAAGGATGAAAGTGAGTCAAAATTAGGTAATTATCAAAAGGATCTCTTAAGATATGTTTTGGGGATCAGAGAAGTTGTGATTGATGAAACTGTTTTGCATCCAACTTTTGTGGGTCGTGGAGGGGTACTAAGAATGGGAACGGAGGGAGACATAACACCGGATTTTCTTCAGGCCAAGATTTTGTCTGTGACCATCCAAACCAACATGTAATCAATGAAAAGTCAAGCAGGCAACTCAAACTATAATTATACCCACCAATCTTTCTCTCTCACTACACTTACAATTCACTTAACACCTTTCCATCGTATTTTTCCAAATTTAAATAACTTTCTCCCATTATTAATTACATTAATTGCTAATTATTACAACAATCTTCATTATCATTAATAATTACTTCTCCCCCGGTCTAAATATACCTAACTCACCACTTGTTCTTCTCCCGTCTTTTACATTTTATAAAAAATACTACAATCCCTCGCATGCATGCTATAATTAAGTAATAAAAATATGGTAAGAAAAACGGCATGCCATGCACATGCATGATGGCTAGTAATTTAATTTCGCTTCTCCCTTATAATTTGTTATGAGATAATTTATACATATATGATAACAAAAGGGGACAATAGTAAATACTGTGTTGAGAGAATGTCAGGATACTATGAACCATATATAAAGAATATATATGTATGCATCAAATTGGTCTTTGTTGAGTAGCAGCTGAATTAATTAAACAAATTAGACAAAGACAAGTAAGAGATCTGAGTTCCTAAACAAAGAATTGTATAAGGAAATTTGACTAACAACTAAAGGGCGTTCAATGAACAATCTTTGACTTGTAGATCACGCAGGTAAGAGGAGCTATCAGCTGACAACAAGACCTTCCACCATGCAAGTCTCTGTGGAACCATATTCTACTAATGCTTCCAATTCAAGATTGTAATCTTTGACGATGAATGCTACATGCATGATCAATAACCAAAACATAAGAAAAGACTTGCAAGGCACAGAGCCACTATACTCACATTCTTGAATTGATCAAAATACACAACTTTCATCGTGTTCAAACAGTAGTACTTACTTGTTAGGTTCTACCTAATGAAAGAAAAAGAGTGAAAAGAAAGAGTTGGTCTTGGTATACATAATAAAATCCTACTGTTCTTAACACTTGTATATAGATATAAGAAAGAATTTTATATAGTAGAATGTTTTGCATCTTTTGAAATGTTTGGTGAAATTGATATTGAAGTTAACGAGAAATGCAATATCCTGATACTTTAACAGAGTTATTGTAGTACCATGAGTGATGAGAATATGCAATGAAGGTAAGCTTTCATGCCAATATTTCCGTTTCTGATAGATCCTTGTAAATGAGAGATGTAAAGGCATATGACAGAGATACACATATCTTCACGAATTATACATAGACAAATATGAAAAGGGAAGAGGGGGCTGTTCCTTGTCGTTTAGTTTCAAAGTGGTCTTAAAATTTTACCAGTTGTTGTTTTGCGGGTTCAGTACAAAGAAAGACACAAGTTTTTGGCATGGCAGTTAATGCTAATAGAAGGAATGAAACAAAGTAAGACAATGCCGTGCACTGCAATGGGAAGTAGAGGGGGGACTGTTTCTTAGATATTCAAGATCTTTTTGGAGATCTATCACGTGGTCCCAAAAACAAACGCAACGAGAAAACAATAACATTTCAAACAAAAATATTCATTTCACATTTCCAACCATATCATCTCATAGATTCTGAATCCTGGTTCAAACCAACCTTATCATCAAAACCGTATCTTCTTCCAGATCATCACTGAACCGGTTAATCGCTCACTCGCTTTTTTTAGAGACACATAAGGTAAAAAAAATCAAAACAAATCATACTACACTGTCAACTTTCTACATATATAAATAATCAAACTTGCTGCAGTAAACTTCCTCTGATATGATTTGCTTCTTTTGAAAAACCTCTTCATATTTTAGTTTTATATTCATTCTAGTTCAAAGAAATGAAATTTACATTAAATTCTGGTAAGAAAAATCATCATAGAAAATATAATATATGTGTATACTAGTGGGAGGGAGGGACCTACTGTTCTCATTTCTTGCACATGTTACTTTCAATTTTGATTTTGGATAGATTATGAAAATAGAAAAACAAAAAGCTGATAGTAGTAGTAGTGTACGTTCTACATGGTGCAATTTTGTATCACTATATATATCTCTCATCTTGACTCACTCCATAACTCATAATAAAGTTGTTGACAAAAAAAAAAAAGAAAAAGTCAATACTTATACTCCAAAGTCGCCACATTGTAATTAGATTTCACTTTCATGTCAAGAATATTAAAGAGTTAGTGCGATGTATTCACTAAAAAAATTATAAATTTGATACTTTTAGGGTTAGAGCCATTCTTTTATATGATAACGTACGTCTTAAACCAGTTTTCCTTAACAGGGTGTTTAGAAGTTTATCGTTCATATATTGAGTTACATATTCATTTTCATTTTATCTTTAGTTCTTTTAATCTTAGTTTTAAATTTAATAAACACTGAAAAAAAAAATAATCTTGATGATTTCAAACAATTTCTTATATATATATATATATATATATATATATATATATATAGTTCTCTTGATTAAGAACGAGCTTAGTGGACTAATAGTTTTATATAGGATATGAATTCCAGGATTTGATTCTACCTTTCTTCTCTTAAGATTTTGTCTACATGATTTCTTGTATCTTTTCTCTTTTTCATATACCTTTTCATGTGCGTTTTGCGCATTAAAAATAATTCTCTTTGATCGCTTATTTTTTGCTATGTATGCTTTATGTGTATTTCTTAAAGAAATCTCATGTTTTTTAAAAATTGCACTGATTAAAAATAATCTTATTTCACAATTATTATCATAAATATAAAATATAACTTATATGCTTAAAAAAATTATTTATTATGATTTTGTCTTATAGTATAATTTATATATTTAAGAATTGTTATCTTATTGATCGTATAAACTAAAATACTAAAAAAAAAAACTATAAACGAAGACTTAGTCAAAAGGTTTAATTAGAAAAAAGTTATCTCAATGGCATTCTAAAGTAAATGAAAAAAATATTCGTTTTATTGTAGTAATGTGAGGCTCCATTATTTATCTTGTTAAAATTATTAACTTTTTAATAATTAGAGTAAAAACTTATCTATAAAATCTGATTTCTTAATTAGAAGCTATATATGGATTATGTGTATGTATACATGAATTATTGAGAAAGATTATTCAAGATGAGCAGGAGGTTTAGTGTAATATCTTTTATATGTGATTATATTAATAATCAGAATATGTGAAAAGTCAACACTAAAATACTTTTTTAATCTATCTTTTTCGAGGCCATCATCAATACATATACTCTTCTTGTTTTTTCTTTTTTTCTTTTTTTTTCCTTTAGGGCTTTTAGGTCTCCTAACCAGTGTTGTAGTTTTTATTTTAAAATTTACTATAAAAACTTAAACTCAAATCACATAAACCACTCACCACATATTTTTCAAAGAGAATTTTCTTTTTATTTTATCAATTCCGAAGCCAATAAGAGTATTGTGGTGGGAACGTTATATGTGAACTCTCACTCGAGTTACATCAACTCTAAGTGAACTCTTAGAGTCTGTCATTCGATGAGAAACGTTCTTCGTGAACTCTTATAAGAGTCTCTTAAATCTAGAGAACGTTCTAAGTGAACTATTAGAGTCTGTCGCTCGGTGAGGAACATTCTTTGTGAACTCTCACCCGAGTCTTTTAGACCTAAGGAATGTGAACTCCTAAAGTCTGCCACTAGGTGAGCAATGTTTTTCATGAACTCTCATCCGAGTCTCTTCGACTTAAGGAATGTTCTAAGTAAACTCATATAGTCCGTCGCTCGGTGTAGAGATGAATGAAGACTTAAAACACATCAAAAATAGACTCCCTAACACAACGTGAAGGGCTTTCTTAAGCTCGTAATAATTCCTGCGCACCTTTTTCAATGAAGAGCTTGCTTGGGCTTGAGGGACCTGTGTACTGAATGAATACCTCTCAAGCTAATAGACCGGGCAAACAAGCAATTAACAACTAGTAAAGACAACCATTGATTGACACTTAATGAGAATAATAACCGTTTATTGTTAATAGGTCAGATCTAAGGGTAAACTCATTTTAATATATATAAATATATGTTTGACACGGAGGTCAGATAACTAATTTTGAGTACTCATATTTTATTAAACATTATTACACAAAGTCACTAACTTGAGCATCGGAGCGTCAGAGTGCCTTTGATAGATACCCTCTCACAAGGAGGAGAGAGAGCGAACAACGTAATTTAGATAATGAAAGATCATCACGAAGTCCATCCAATCTACTAGACAACTTTAAATGCTTTGAATAATAAATCTCAACCCCTACTCAAAACAATATATACAATAGGTTACACGAGTTAGCAAAATATATACATACATACATATATACATACATATATATATATATATATATACATATACATATATATATATATATATATATATATATTTATATATATATATAATAATTTATTTTATTTTTATAATGACTATTTTGAAAGTTATATCCTGCAAATTTTGTTTATCTGTAAATTTTTTGTTTCGTA